TAGATCGATGTCAATGTCAATGTCACTCATCCGACTGACAGATCAGACCAACTGTTATTCGCAGCAATGTATTTCTAGTGGGTAATATAAAAAAATATATATATAATAAAATCCCTTGCAAGTTCATACAACAGCCCGACTGAAGTAATTCTTTGAAAATATCAAATTGTTCATTTTCAAAATTCCAGACTTATGCTGAACAGACAACGACTTGGGCATTGATAATCTCAAGCACATGCTACACCTACTGGAGTATACGGACGACGAGACAGGTACAGTTTGGCAAGTTGATCCTACCTAGAGGAAACAAAGGAAATAAAGGAGACGCAATGCAACGTAGCGAATATTAACACGCTCCCATCTCAGAAACAAAGGAACTACGTCGTCATTCGTACCAACCGTGGAACCAGCCAACCCTGCAAGTGAAGATTACATTAGCTACACAGCTTTGTTGAGAGTCAAGACGTCTATCGTAGACCGCTTTGTTTCCGCGTACATTAGTTATGAAGTGAGGTTACAATTTTCGAGTAAATAACAGCGATCGATTATCCTAACTATTCTATCGTGCTAGGTGGGTAACGATTAGATATTGGTCGATTATCGATTATTTTCCCTGAGCGAACACGCGAGGTAAATATCTGGCCAAACCTTAGAGCTTCGAGAACACGCGACGCTGAACCTTAAATGACTCGGATTCTTGGAAGATATCGATCGAATTCAAAAAGTATATGTATGAGATGCTATATCGACGTGCTTTTTAAGAAAGCTTCTTTTTATTTTTTTTTTTTTTCAAAGGATTATATCGATTAGATGTGTTTCGCTTCACACGTTGTATCCCACGGTATGAGTGACTGAAAGTAGTCTGAAACTCCAAAATTCCATTGGTCCTCCCTCATTCGGCTTCCAGAACATAACCTACCATATAAACAGAACCCTAATCGATACCCTAAACAGTGTGTGAGAAATAGAATTAAAAAAAAGTCACAGAAAATAAAAGAAGACAATTATCCCAAAATAAATAATGGGTGGTAAAGAAAAAAAAAAAAAAAAAAAACGTCTACTCGCCGATATGCAAATTGTAATTTTGTAGCTGGCAGCTAGAAGCAACGAGAGGACAGCGAACCCGAGTAGCTTTTAAAGAATCAACAATCTGGTTGAGTGATTCCCTCGTATACGCGTAATGCCAAGCGTCGTTTCCGTCTTCTACCAGTTTCCCTGCAGACGCGAGGGAGTCGGAGAAAAGCCTTTCAGACTGGAATGAAATATTTGCAAAAATGACTGGACCAAAAGCTCGCTGAGTTTCATTAAAAGGAGTAAATAAAAAAAGAAAGTACTAAAAATAAAAATTGTCCCAGGATCGAATCAGCGATCTTACGAACTTGGCGAGTGCCATGAGCTGCATCGTAATTTTCATGTCTCTGACGACGAATGCTAAAATCCTGATGGCTCTTCGGTAGTGAAATTTCGAAGGAATTCAATCGATAAAATGAATTAGTTGATCGGACAATGCGACGCGTTATCATTCAGTCGCACGCAATCACGTCGTTAATAATTCGAAATATTATCGGACGCGAAGAACCAATAACGTCTTTTCATAAACTTTTCTAATAATCGTATAGATATTTGTCGCATTTGGATTATTCAAGACGTACGCTAAGGTGGTTTCTGGACGAATTCACTTACGTATAACTGTGTCTCGGTGGTTCGCGTTATTAATGATAGCTTGATATTATGTTTTATTTCATAGAAACTTCTTTATTAAATGGTTAATGTACCTACGTACCCGAGTGCACGTCTTGGATTCAATTGGTACGCGACATTCAATTATACGAAGTCTAATTGAATTCAGTATCACCAGAAAGAAATATGTCGAGTTAAGTTGATTGATGTGAATTTTTTTATATTATTTCTTCATATATTTATCGTTACACACATTATTCTTGACGTATATCAAAATGATATATACCCCATGAAAGTTTCTTTGAAATTATGAGCCGATTATTTGGTGAACTCTACGTTTCTTTATTTAACGACTGGTTTCCTGGTAATGTAATCAATTTACTTTACCATAATGGACTATCGGAATATTCTGATTATGTTTGCCGTGCAGTTTAATTTCCTTCGGAGGGTAAAGAAGGAGTCGCTTTTTATTTGCGATATCCAACACGTATTAAGGCGTTCGACTAAAGTTCACGTTGTTAGCAAGACAATTTAATTCACTCGAAGAGCGCGTTACCTAGAATCGAAGGGTGGCATGGTACCCCCATATATATAGTTTCCCGAGGGTTGCTCACAGATCTGAACCCCAAAACTTATAAATCAGAACCGAACACCATTACCCACCTTCGTCCGCAAAATTAATTACTCTTTTATTTTACCCCGATAGTTCTCTCAACATTTGCTACAGGACGGTGGGCGGAGGGTGAAGATTCAGAGGAGAGAATCGTAATTTCACGGCTAGTTCTCTGATTTATTCTAACAACTTTCTAACCGAATTACACTCCCTGCGCCATTCGAATCGACGACGTTCATCCCTCAATTGTGACACAGCAAACAACCCCTTCTTGCTATCTTCACTTTCACCGTGTATTTCGAAGACAAATCGGGCAAACAACCCCATAAAGGGAACATCGGCGAAATATAGACGGAATAGATTCTATCAGCCTCCTATGATTTTACGTTAATAATCCAAAATCCACTGCTGACGTGATTTCGTGATAGTTACAAATTCGAAGTTAACGAACGCCGACGTAATAACCGTTTGATAACGTAGACTATATCAGTTCATTGGATATCTTACCATTCGGTAACGGGAAGAACGCTAAACGTTAAAACTTTACTATGGTTCCGAGGGTAGTTGGATTTTCGGTAAAAGTCCTGCGGAGTAAATGTAAAAACGACATGGCGACTTGCTACACTCTTTGAGCCCCCCGACCGCGCGCCGCTTCCTGTCAAGGAAGCTGCGAGGGTCACGGCGCCCTGTACAATTTCCGATTTATTTAAAACAGCAGCGCAGTTTGTAGGAGCTCTGCCATAGAGAAAAAAGAGAAAGGGGTGTAAGGCGGTGAGCCGTAAATCAGAAAGCGAATTTACTTAGCCTCGCAACTACTTTGCGCTCTGATTCATAGATTTATCCGTGCCTTATCCTGTGCCGGCCGCTCGTAATAAATACGCCAGGGCCAGAGGAAGCACGCCGTAATCCGTGCCGAGTAAGAAACTAAGCTGGGAGAATGAGAAGAAAAAGCAGCCGGGAAAGAGGAAGAGGGAGAAAATGAGAGCAGTACTCACGGGGTAGGTTAATCGATCTGGCGAAAGTCTGGTATAGAGAGGAATCCTTGGTCGTCTCGAGAATCCAAGAAATGTCAGCCCCACGCCATTTATATGTTAAGTGTGCGCATTCAAATGCAGGCACGATCGAGAAAAAATAACAAGTAATGAAATAGACGGAGAAATTGAGGTTCTGGGGGGTTCAGGTTGAGGTTCTAGGGTTGGAGGGGTTCGCGTTAGAATAAGACGTCAAATTAAGGGGATCCTTTTTAGGGGATGATACGACTGGAGAACGCATCTTCGACATCGGACCAGTCCTCTCAATGAGATGCTAAAACGAGATGTCTCCGGTGGCTGACTGGCTGAACCCTTGGACGGCTAAATTCCCGGGCATCTGGTAATATTAAAAAATATTTCTTGAAAAAAAAAAACAAAGGAAAAACCTCACGAAATCGTCGATTGAATTCCACGTGATGAAGTGACATCTTTATTGTTTTTTAAATATTTTTTTAACTTTATCTCAGACGTAGAAGGAAAAATCGATTTTTCAATGAATCCGACGACGCCTGGCGTCGTGTCGGCCGATCACAAAGAACGCATCGAGTATTCTCGATAACGATAAAAAGATATGGGTATAATTGAGTTTTGAAAATCTTTTTTCCCCCATCTCGCCAGGGGTGGTTCCTGCGCCCCACGCTTTACCATTGCGTCACCACTCTCGTTGCTCCTTGGTATGCAGGAGCGAGCATAAATTCTCATGCGATTCGCGGCGGTCCAACGAGAGATTGAAACTTTGAATACGCAAAGTGCAAAATCCAATTCCTTCCGTTGCACGATATAAAATTTCAAGCCAATCGATAGAAAGTTATTTCCTCTCGGTAGGAAGTTCCTGAAATAAGGTTATCGGAGCGATTTATACGTATTTCCATGAAACTCACTCATTCACAAATCTATCACGACGCGTCACTCTGTATACCAAACTTATATATCATAGGAAAAATTTACAAATTCAAATGCACTAGTCATTCCATTATCCATATACTTAAACCTTTGAATCCATCATACCTCAGTGAGATACTTTAATCGACTGAGTACGTATAGCTAACCAAAAGCTCATTAATAACATCGCTGATAGATGTTGAAAAATGTTCAGGATGGTTTGAAGTTTCCTCTAATAGCTATCAGCGTGGTGGCTGGCCCCAAATAAAATATATACTTCACTCGCAAAAACGCGTAATAACCCTCGACAGACACTTTATTCGCAGAAAACGCCAAGGTAGCTACGTTCAGCCACTCTCGGTCAATGCGCACTTGTATACGCCAGTGTACTCTGCTCCATACCTTTCGCTCTTCGCTATATTTTATCTTCTCTACGACTCTCACTCTTGCTCCCACTCTCGGATCTTTAGCCCAGAGCAAGCAGCTTTTTTCGCACCTCGGTCTCTGCCATTTTTTGCAAATTTAAAACAAGAAGGGACTCTCCTGGCTCGAAGCTCTTCGGGTTATTACATATCTCTATGTATATATATACGCAAACACATACGTAAACGCTAGAAAGGGTGTACTTGAGTGTAGAAAGGGGTGGGTTGATGATAGGGTCTGTACTAGTTTTTTCCTATTTTTTCCCTTTTTTTTTGTTAAACAGACTATCAGCACGGGAAGGAACATGGATGTTGGCGTCGGCGTCAGAAACATTAGGGAAGCACTTTGCCAAAATAGCATCCTTGGCTGCGAGTACTTTATGGCAAGAAATACTTAACCGATAGTTCCGAGGGTTTGGTCAGTCGAAGGAAGACGGAGGTGAAAGTGCAATTGGGTATGATCATCGACAGATCAATCGGTAAGATACCCCTGCAGACTGTACACGACATACGTCGAACGAAGGAATATTAATTACTAATTGAAATACTTAATTACGTATCTCCTCTGTGTCCGAGGAAAATGTCGAGAGATCGAAAAATGATAAGCGTCGCGACGTATTCAGACGCCCGTCTGAAAGTAAACATTTTCATGCAAATTAAACGAGCGCCCAGCGTCTTAATTCTCGACTTACGTACCGTGACGCAGAAGGTTTTTGGCGCTGGGGTTGAATTCTCCACGCTGAGTAATTAAATCCAACTCCAGGGGTGGTAATAAAGCAGCGCCACCCGTCATAAATCCAACGAAACTATTTCCTAACCCTGCCCCTGCCCCGATTTCGACTCACTGCCTCGTCCCTTTGCAGCCACGTTGCGCGATGCCTCCTCGGGGTCGACCCGATGATCTATGCGAAGCACAGTCAGGAAACTAGTTACGAGTCCCACTGCAAAGTACTTAGTGGAAACTGGGTTAAGGAGTGCTAGCTCGGCATATTTCTATTCTCACCCATTACGTAATTACCGTAAGGAAATATATTCTCATAGTGATTAACGTGTTATCCAGATTATTAGTCCCAATGCTGAATCCAATATCGATGTTACAGGAACGGCGTATCGGATGCACTGGAAACCCATGCATATTGGATCCAATAGACGAGACATCAATTGGCATCCGGTTCCGGATAATATGCCAGGCAATCCAGACCTTCGTCCAATCCGGAATGTGACGAGGAATGCGGTGCAGATGCATTGGAATGTAGGAGGCTCTGTCATGAGCCGAGGGATTGATCAGTATGTAGAAAACAAGGGTAGGAATTATATCATGCACACTCCACTGGATCGGGGTTACATGAGAATTTATTTGGACGCTATTTGCTTGCCGATGCGTGGCTTGGATACTTTTTGGGATAACAAGGTCCACTCGATGCCTTCTTTAGACGTAAACGATACAATTGAAAATTGCGCCCTCGGGAAAAGGGACAAATTTATTTACCCCAACAAGTAAGATCCCTGAAAGAGGATCCAGCAACCCCCGTGCGATGCCTATACAGTGGGAACAAGTTCACCGGTGTGCTTCCCGTAAGTTATGGCTTCCCAAAAGTATGGTGTGGATCTTCGATAAAAAGAGTGTGCCCCCGTCGTGGCTCCTACTGCAAGGGTAGTTTGTTTTCATCCCCCTAGCCGCGAATCTTTGCCACGCTTCCACGAACTCGCCACTTCCTTCAATGCTTTCATGGATTATTTAGAACCAACTAGTGATGGGGGTCGGAAGGGTGGGATTCGTGACTTACGGCTACCGGAAATCCTCTGTTTAGTTTACGCACACTTTATTCCCTTTTCAGGGGGGTGTTAACTGATTTATCACGGTACGAAACCCCCTTTTTTGTAAAATAGATCCGTAGTCCTTTTGAAAATAAAATTTTTTTATTATCTGATTACAAGTCGTGGTTTGACATTATACTTGAAGCAAAAGAGATTTTTTGCATTTCGATGCATTTTGAAAAGTGGTCCATGCTGCATACCCTGAAATGCAACTTTTACCAATCTTCTAACGTGTTCATGTGTGCGCGCGCGTGTGTGGAGAATGCAAGGGGCGACAGCGGAGTGCACTTAAAATATGCGCTAATAACGGATTCCCTTGTTACGTTGATGGGGGGTAATTAGGAGACGCAATTAGTTCTGTAGCGGTTAGGGGTTGCAACGGGAGCACAGCTGGGGAGAATGTGGTCGTGTTCAGGTGGTTGCTATATGTATTGAACTCTGTGCAGTTACGTTAGCCAGAGTAACATGCAGCCACTGCGCTGTATTTTGGAATACGTTGGAATGACGTTGTATTGGGAATCCTGTGATAACGAACGCATTTAGATTATTGCACTAGAACGACACGAGTTGAACGAATCGACTAGATACGAATTCGATAAGCCACAAAAGGTCCAAATTTATAAAGAACAAATATAAAAGTTCTGAATTTCGCGTTAGCGTACCTAGACATCTTAATTCACAATGAAATAAAAAAAACATGACATTTACACGGGTATAGATAAACTGTCTGCAAGCTAGTCTGTTATCATACCGTCGATCCTCTATATTTTTTTTTATTTTTTTTTTATATTTAGTTCCTTTTTTTTCAACGTGGTAGCAAGTAGACGGAATATCGAATGAGGAGTGTATATAAGGGAGTCTGAATTGCGTCTGCATATATCCCATATGTTTGCTTTGTAATAATTCTGCCATGTTTGCTCGGATGAGATAGACTCCCTGAATGGATAGGAAAGAATTTCGAAAAAGAGTATACCGCCACTAAGAAATTCAATCTATTTTATCATCCCTTGGTCTAATGTTTTTTTTATCTCTGTCAGTGTCACTTTTACGTAATTTCGCGAAAAGCAAAGTCGTATCTAAATCGCAGGACTGCTTTTCGCCACCCTTCCCAGAAACGTCCCTATATTCTCTCATTCTCGTTCCGGTAATCCTCGATAATTTAAGGACTCGCCATAAGGGGTGACCCATCCTTGGCATGGGAGTCCCTTCTCGGAGTTGGCAGTATTGTTCAAGTATCTCGTGGGCGTCACGTCATAACCGTGTGCCGTGGCTGCCACGAAATGGACTCACAGTCCGCAACACGCGGCTCGTAAAAACTTTGAGAGCTCGTCGCATTTGAAATTCAAACCCGAAGGAAAGTTTGGCTCGCGTGGACATCGCTCCAACTGGAATGGGCGTCCTCGATGCGAATACCATCCCGACGAGAAGGAGGCTGACGGGATACTGAAAGGGAAGGAGGGAAGCTCTGAAAAACGAGAGGGTCTCGATGCAAAATATGAAGTTCCACGGGGCAGCTATACTGGGGCCAGCACTTTTATCATCGGAAATCATGAATTTCGGGAAGGATACAGAATTCTCAACAACCCCCTATTATACGGATGCACAGGGGTAATATACGGGAGGATGAGAGAGACGGATCACTGGATTCCTAAAATGAATGGAACTGGGACACGTTCCACTTTTCATTGTGAACATCGAATTCCGCGAATAGTACGGACCGTATATTTTTCACACTACCCCAACTTTGAGACATTCAAATCGCGGCTGTTGGGATCGAAACTTATCTTCGCTGGACCGGATTCATCTCGGAGAATCGTACACTCCTGCTTCTTTGAAATGCGACCAATTCATGTGTGACGTACCATGAGAATTTTTCATAAAGACACCATAGTTCGCATATTGATACGACCTTGCTGTACAATTCATAAATTTTTTTCTGATTCAACCATAAAAATGGTCGATATCAAGATCAATCGTGAGACGCACAAGGAGATGCTGACATCATATACACGGCTGGATGCAAAATTAGCATTTTTTTTCGATACCGTTTTTTTTTGCTACGTGACCAAAACTATTGCTAAAACCATCAGGAACTATGGAAATATGCTAGATCCAAAGGAATTGACGAACCTGGTGCTGGGCAGTGAGGAAATCGTCGAAGTTTCTTGTCGATTCTTCGAGCCTGAGGAGCAAGGGGTACCACCTCAAAGCTTCATGCGAGTCGACTTTCGAAACGATCCTACGATTTAACACGAACATTACTCGTCAAAGTTTCTAGTAATCGGGTGTAAAATTCTTGGAATCCGACGTAAAATTCCTGGAATCAGCTTTCGATTCGACGATCCTCGTGACGTCACTCCATGAAATAAGGAGTTTTCACGACGTCGATTTAGCATGGATGCGAATCTCGGAAGGTTCTCGAAGTGTCTTTAAATATCGGTATAGGAATCTGTGTCCAGAGTCCCCCTAGTTATCCTACTCATATACAGTAAGTAGCAAGAAACACGTGATCCAGCAATATTTCTCGGTCTATTGGTTCACTTCGTGTTCTGTATCGCCATAGAGTAAAGCTTCGCAAGTAAGGGTTATGCGAGCTATATAGGCTAAAGGGGACCAGGAGTTACAAGGGGATGATACAGGATACGGAGTCCCGTGGGAGGGCTAATGGCGCGATAGATTCCCCTTTTATTAGACTTGGAAGGTTACAGGCCACTACAGACACCGCGCTCTGGATGTCAGCCCTTTTATCTACAAATTTTTGTATAGCCACACAGTAAATCCCAAAGCACGTCGACAGCGCGAAACTCCACTCTGCCAGTAATTTATAGTTCCACCCCCGTTTCCCGCAGTTCCTTTTCCAATTTTACGTTAATAATTCATTTATCCCACCCGACCACTCCTCCGCCATCATTTGCCCATTCGCTCAAGATACATGCAAATCTACCCATAGTGAATCAATGCAGCCGCAGGGTTCTTCGAGCAAGAAATAAAATTACGTATACGAAATTGAAAAGTGAATTTAGCCCTGTTTTTATTGATCGTTTCAAACATTCTTTTGTCTTACATAATACATAAAATAAAGAGAGGCCAAGCGTATGAGATTTTTTTTAAAGGAAACCAAGTATGAGAGGATTTTGAAAATCCTAATTGCGTTTACCCTTTTGCACTCTTCGCCCAAAGTAGATACCGACCGTATGGCACATCCTGTACTATGTGCATGCATACAGCACAAAGGGATACTTTAATTCCTATAACGGTGCAGTGACCGGTGCTGCAAATTCACGGCAGCACGGAGGTGCAGAAAAGGGAAGGTTGGAAGTGAGGGATGGGTCTACGTTAAGGTTGTCAGGTAGCCTGTGGAGTGAGTGACAAAGAGAGTCTCTCTCTCTCTCTCTCTCTCTCTCTCTCTCTCTCTCTCTCTCTATGCACTGCAAATTGCGCATGCACATGCAAGCACTTGGTAACGACCGAAATTTGCGGCTTCCCTGCAATACGAATGGCCTGGCCTGTGGTTCTTTATTGGACAGACGAAAGATCTTCATGTACATCATTGAACTATGGACCACCCTGGAGAAAACATTTTTCATTTTCTTTTCTAGAATCAACTTGAGAGCACCCGAAAAGAATCCAAGGGACGGTACAAATTTTATTTGACTGGAGTAATAGGCAGGCCGATGACGTCATTGTGGGGGAAGATTTTTCTCAGGTATAGATTTTAAACGATTTTTTTTATTGGATATACTGAAACATAGCTGACATACGTTGACAGTCACTGAGAATCTCGATGCCTACGTCATTATAGGGTATAGAATAAATATTTGAAAGGGTGTCTCGTGTTTCGCTTTGGACGGATGATATGTCACCAATAAACGCTCCTTTTTTTTTTTAATATCCCACCGTGCGTATTATACGGATTGAAGTGGCGGCAGAACGAGATGAGTATCCCTCTCGAAAGCGGTGCTCGCAAAAGTTACCACCCTCTCGAGCCTGCCATTATTAAAAACAGTGTTGAGCTCTGTAATTATTGCTTTTTCGCCCATCGGAATGAGGGATTCGCACTCAGCGCAGCTGGGGTGGTGGAGCTTTCGGACTTGATGACTATCCAGATGATTTTTTTACCCGGTAATATTGACTAGAGAGCTCTCGGTATGTTTTCATGCAAGAATAGCAGTCGGGAAACGAAATGAAAGTCTACGTCGAATTTTTTTCTTTTATTTTATAGCATCGAGCTTTTTTATTTTAAGCGATCGTCATTTTACTTAATTAATGACTAATCACGCATAATTCAACGAATTACACTTTTCATGATAGAATTCCTCTCCCTCGTGTATAAGCATGGCGCAAGTGTGATAAAGTCAGCACGCGTGGTAACTCTGTGTGAGTGTGATAAATTAGTCGGGCCTTCATAAACATTTCACAGCTGTTGCCGACACCCTGGGACCACCCCCTCTCCCTCGGCCGCAACCTCTCTCTCTCTCTCTCTCTCTCTCTCTCTCTCTCTCTCTCTGTCTTTTCTCTTCGGTGCGTCCCGGTGCAATTATCCGAAGGGTCCAGAAAAAAAGTTTCATGGTCACAATGGCAGATTGCATTCCCAAAATAATGGATCGTTCCACCGTGAAGATGAAATCTCACTGACGGTCCAGAGAACTCAGGAGCCAGAAAGTATTCGCATGACGTGTTCAAGAGTTGCGAATTCTTTTCCCCGTTTTTTGGCTCTCGCGGCAAATCGCAAGATGCACGCTGCAATTCAACGTACCGGAGAAAAACGCATCGTTCGGTCTGAAAATTGAGGGAAGGATAAGAATGGATGGTAGAAATAAATAAAGGGAATGCCGTGCTACGGATTAGAGGAATTTTTTGGTTCGCGCTCGCATGAGCACTACCCCTCCCCTCCCCACTCCGCCCCCTCGCCCCGCCAACCTCTTCTTCATTCTTACAAACAACTCATTTCGAATGGCGGTTTCTGAATATATCGAGTAATCCTGCCCGCTTCACTTTTGGCTGTGGGTATTATCGATCATACGCCGGAGCCACATAGCGTTCTGTGCTAACTATACAGAATGCGTCTAGACTATTTTTTATGCTTATCCCACTTTATAGGAAATG